ACTCTAGTCCCGAGCGCCATGAACTCCCGAACATCTCGGGAGGGAGCTCTCCTGCAACCCCTTCTCCCTTGTCTTCTCTAGGTTCTTTAGTAGTCCCCCATTGACGGGAGGTGGTCATTTTGAGGGAGAGGTTAACCTCGGGGGGTGCCGAGGGCAGTCATTGGGGAAATGACTCTCCCCATGAAAGCGCTGTCTCGACATCGTCAAGGGATCTCCTCTCTCCGAGGGTGATGCCATGGAACTCATCGCCGGACCAGTAGGAGGGAGTGCTGCCCGAAGGGTGGTTGATGTTGGTGTCCTACATTTGGAGTTTGACAGCTCCTTGGATGTGTGCCAGGTCAAATTTTTGGCGAAGAGGTTCCATATACCCCGGTCTTACAGCCTGAGGGTCCCCGACGTGGGCGATAGGCCGTGGACCCCCGAGGAGGAGGAAATCTGTATCTACCAGCATTTTTTAGAGTCTGGCCTTAGGTTTTCCCTCTCAACCTTGATCTTCGAGCTGCTAGAGTGGTACGACATCACTATCAATTAGCTCGTACCCAACGCCCTCCAAACCATTGTGGCGATGATGGTATGGGCTTGGCTCAAAGTTGTGGAGCTGACGTTGAGACTGTTCCGTGCCATGTTCGTGCCGAGGAAGAATGCTTACGAGGCCAACATATACTATTTCCACTCGAGGAGAGGAAAGCTAGTGCACAACCCCTTGTCCATTCACAGGTGGAAGGATAAATTCTTCTACGTCTCCTACCCCGAGGGCTGACGCTTTAGGTCCGACTGGGGGGAGGCCTGCGTCATCATCGAGAGATGCCCCCCACCGCTCTGAGACGAAGAGGCTGTAGCAGTAGCTCATCTGCTTGTGATGGGGACATTCCTAGCGAAACCGTTGGTGGAGGAGGAGGTCCTCCTAGTCTTCGCTAGGATTAGCCCAGCCCCCCTCGGTAGGAGAGGTTCTATGGTTAATGCGTCTTCCACGTTCTTTTCTTTTCTGCTAATGTCCTAACTGTTTTCCTTTGCTGTTTCGCAGAAGTGCCAATGGACGCCAAGGAACGCTTGTTGGCAAAGGCCCGGGCGAAGCAGGACAGAGGACAGACGCCGAAGAGGCCCGGCGATGAAGCTGCCCCCAGCCTCGGTGAAGGGGGGGGGGAGATTCGCAAGTACCCACCAAGGGGAAGCAGTCGGTGGTGGCACCGAAGAGGATGGTGGAGGTATTGAAGAAGCCCGCCATCGGGGAAGAGGCGCCGAAGAGGCCCACGGAAGGGCCCGAGGCGGGAAGGAAGAGGCCCGTTGCTGACATGCCGAGGGAGGAGCCGTACGAGGTCAAGCTGCAGGCCCTGGAGATACGCCAAATAGTTATGTGGTTGGCTCCGTATGGAGGCAGCATGGCTCCTTCCTACTATCGTTGACGTTAGCAAGTGTTAGTGGGCTGGGCCTCCCAGCCCTCCGTACGGAACCAACCACATAGGGCTGTGAGGCCTAGCTCACTAACGCCTGCTAACGTCAGCGGCAATAGGAGGGAGCCCTGCTGCCTCCTTATGGAGCCAACCACATAACTATCTAGCGTACCACCAAGGCCTGCAGCCTGACCTCGTACGACTCTCATCCGAAGCGTTCATCTTCACCTACCACCAACATGCTCAAGTATAAATAAGAGGTAACTGCCCCTTAAAAGGAGCTAGAACGGAGTAACTCCAACATCACTCACTCATTTACTTCTTGCGCCTACATTGTCTAGCTAGCATTAATTCAGGGAGATCTAGTGGTAGGTGAAGATGAACGCCTTAGATGAGAGCCATACGAGGTTAGACTACAGGCCCTGACGATACGCTAGATAGTTATGTGGTTGGCTCTGTAAGGAGGCAACATGGCTCCTTCCTACTGTCGTTAACATTAGCAAGCGTTAGTGGGCTGGGCCAAGCTAACCCACATCAACCACCATTAATAATTCATTTCTTTTTTGATAAAGCAATATGTGCTACACAAGCCGAGGGGGTACCATGAATTATTCAATGAATCACTAACAACTACATGTTGGAAATTGTATTTATCCATTGCAACTAAAAATTGTTTGGTAAAAGTACGAATGTAATTACAATTCAACTAAAGTACTTTTACTAATATTGGTTGTATGTTAAATACCGATCATATTAAAGTTTGCATATTTTTCATTGGTTTACAAAAATGTACTTTCCCATATAGTAAGGTGTACTTACCTTCATGTTCAGCCAAACATGTCTTTTGTTGGACGGTGCAATGAATACACCATAGGTTTTGCTATGAATTTGTTAGTGCAAAACTAAACTTACTTTGCATTTTTATGAACCAAACATGCTTGTGCTTGTATTAAATACTTTTGCATTTGCATTTGTTTTCCTAAATGGAGCATAAGGTTTTCTTCCCTGATTCCAATAACCAACTAATCAATATTAATTTGTTGATTTAACGGTCCATTTGGTTGAAATATAAGTTAGAACTTTCGATCACAATACCCATGTTAACAGTTTAAGGAGTATGCTAAGAGGACCTTATAAATGGAACTCAAAATTTTCCATTTCAGTTTTCACAAAAAAGAGCTAGTTATGTATACTACTTATAAAATAGTGAGTGCCTCTTCTTTTTGAAATTTTCATTGGATATTTTCTACCCCCTTGTCTAATAATATGACGGGCATAAAAAGGGCATATATGTCCTTTACTTTCACTCTAGAATCTACCCACTTATAATGGTTCAAAAACTGTACACTTGTAATCATTCAAAAACTGCCCATGAATTATAAATAATTTTATTTTAGAGATTGTCACGTGCATTTGCACGTACAACTTTACTAGTCTATAAGTGTACAAAGACATTTTGTATCATTATCATTTTATGTCTTGTCACACCTATATGGGGTTGGCTACATGAGTCATGCTTTGCTGTTTTCTACCTTCTTCGACATATGACAGATCATCACATTTTCTAAAATGTGTTTTTGATGATTTTTTATACACCTGACCAACTTGACCAAACCATCTCAATCTATTTTTTTGTTTTTCTCATTTTATCACTTATTGGAGTTATTCAAAGGTCTATTTCTATAACTTCATTTTATCTTGCTCTAAGAGTGTCATTTGAGCAATTGCATTTCTGTTGCATTCATTTTTTTACATATTGTTTATTGATTGCTCAATCTGCTCTATATAATATGGTTGACCTTACGACTATTTTATTCCTTTAACATGTTGATGGATTCAAGAACCCATATGTATTATACATTACAACTTTTTTGAGCATTGCATTGAAATTTCTTCAAATTGGGCAACTTGAATTGCACTCCTAATCCCAACGTCTCTAGTAAACTAGAGAGTTTACAAGCATGTCAAATGGCGCCATTTAAAGAGGGAAACGCTTTAGAGTGATGTATTAATTGAAAAATGTAACTTAAGGAAGGGCTCAACTATGATATGGAAAAGATATGTTATTGGAGAAACAACTGACCAGTAAATTGGAATTATAAACGTGGTAGCAAATAAGGTGTTATTTATCAAAATTCATGGGTGGGTTTTGACTGGTCAAAACTCTTTTCACATCATAGATTTTCCCCTTTGGTCAAAATACTAAGGCCTCCTTTGGTTTGCAGAAATAAGGGGTTTGGAATTGGAATTGGAATCGGAATCGGAACGAGTTATTCCGATTCCAACTGTTTGTTGGGCTGAATTGGAATCCCTGGTCCCATTCCTATTGGAATGGCATTCCCCATTTGAGGGAATGGCCATTCCCTCTCCCTCCCTTGGGAATTAAATCCCATTCCTACTGATTCCAATTCTCATCCTCATTTATGTTTGAACTAAACAGACTATGGGAACAAACTATTCTGATTCCGAGTATGGAGAATTTTGATTCTTATTCTGACTGCAAATCAAATAGACCCTAAATTAACTCTCATGGAGAGCGTATAACAAAAGCAAGAAGTCATAAACCCCCTTAAAATGTTGATGAAATTCACCACTGTTATCATTGTTATTGCAAATGAAAATCTTAATTTATTGCTTAAATATACGTTAAAGGTAGTTTTGAGCTTTTGAAATATCTTAAGAGTCAAGTGATGAAATATTATCATATGGGCATTTTTAAGAAACATGTGAAATGATAAGGGAGGTTAAAAGCATTTTGAAGAAATAGGAGACAACCCGTCCGAATTTTTGCTTTCGGAAGGGAAATGTTCTATAATTTAGGATAAGTTGTAGATTAATACCTTGTATTTAGGGGGCTAGTCTCACTTATACCCAAACATCAAAATGTGCCATTTGAATACTTGAACTCCCAAAAATTGTCAATTTAACATCCACTGTTAGCATATGTATCACGTAATGGCATGTACGACTTAATTTTTTTAAATGTCAAAACCATCCATTTTAATATTTTGAGACAATTTTACTTTGATTGTCTTCTTTGACGGCAATAAGAATTAGTTGTCATGATTACAATCACAGTGATCTAAATCCCTCTTCTCCAGTAACAACATCATCTTCTCTGGTGGCATTGGGAAGCAATAGTTCATTGGCATAAAGGTTAGGGCATAAAGTAAATAGTGGTGACCAAATGTAATAAAAAGAGATTTAAACATGACTATTTTGGCCATTTCAAAATTATGTTTGAGATTCTAAAGGATATTTATATATTCTGAACTAAACTAAGACTGTGTTTGATTAAAGTGCAATTTTGTTTGCACTAGTACAAATGCATGGGGTGCAAATGTAAAAAGCGTTTCATTTTGATTCAGATCTTATCTTACTAGATTTATAGTGTGATTAAACAAAATAACATAAAATTTAAAACAAAAATAAATTAGAATCTACACCAAAATCATTTGCACTAATATATTGAAGTTCGGGTAATAAAGTGAGAATATCCCCAAAATACAGGTTACGATCCAAAAGGAAATTTTACAGGAAACGAATAAAGACAAAACATAATAATAAAAAAACACCGTCTCTTGCATTTTAGCCATAATTTTCATCAACCATTTCATTTACCTCTGCGCTCTCCGCCAAATTAAACACAACTTGAACGCTAAATTCACCTCTAAAATTCGCAGGTATTTTTCCCCATGTGAACCACTAAAATCTCTAAAATTCGTGTTAAAGAAAAGGAGAAAAAAAATCATGACATCTGTATTCTGCAGAGATTTCGAGTTGCAATCCGCCTTGAAAATTTCGTGAATACTAATGGAGGATACATGGGACTTCCACCCATTAGATTGATCGTCTTGATGGAGTTTATTTCGGATTTTGAGTTGGTATTGTTAAGATTTTGCAATTTCAGGAGCAGACTGCTCTACTGCTTCTTTCAGCAGATCTCGTTCGCTCGCTGACCAGGACACGATTCTGAATTTCTAGGGTTTTCTTATTTGATTGGAGAACAAGGATTTTAATGCTTTCTTCCGTTGATCCTGCTCTTTTTCGGATGATGATCTGTTTTTGTTAATCAATGTAATTTTCGCTTGGTTCGTTTACTTACTTTTCTTTCACACCCAAGGTTTGAATCTAGAACTGCTTAATCTAGTCTTATTTTCCGTGATGGTGTCTGGGAATGATCCTGTAGATTCCTTCTTTAATTCCTTTAACTCGATTAAAGAAGCTCTGTCACCACTTGAATCCGGTATTCGACGTACCGCGAAAGATTTGGAGTCGTGTTTGGCGGGTCCGAGAACTAGGCTTAATAATCTCGAACCGTTACGTCAATTGCATGTTTCTGCCGAGAGCAATGGGACTCAGAGTGGCTCTCCAAAGAAGAAACAGTTTCAGAATACGGTTTTCGATGGGAAAAGGAAAAGCTTGTCGACAAGGATTCCTGTTAAGACGTTCTTGGGAACGTTCTTCCTACATTCAGGAAGAAATGGCCGTAAGATTGAGACGTCGAAGAAAGGGCCTAAAGAGAAATACTTGGCTAAAGAGGATTGTTCTTGTTTGAATTGCTTGCATTTGGCGGCGACCTGGTCTCATTTGCTTAACAGTTTCGTCCAAGCGTTTCCAGGTCCATTCAAAGCTTGGAGGAAGCATACACAGAAACAGTTTATCCAAGAAAATGCATACTCGGATTCATGCACAAAGTTGTCGTCAAAGGTTTCATTTAAGCTGAAGCAAAATGAAACTGGGGGACAATTTGCAGCCCCGTCTCAAAGCAAGTGCTCGATATCCAACGAAAGAGAAAATTTGTCTTTGGAATTCCTTCTAGATTTTATATTTCAAAATATTCAGAAACTCAATCAAGGTATCCAAGAAAGCTTCCACGAGAGTTGTGATCACATAAAATCCTATTCTCCTCCACTCGATCATTTCGGGGCAATAGCAGGTATATTGGAAGGAAGAAAAGCTGATTTTGATGGCTTTCTGGGAAATCTGAAGTTTGCAAGGGTAGGAGGTGTGCCTCCCAACCTGGTTGGAGTATCCTCTTCTGTCAAGGTAGATGGTGAGGACAATGCTTCTGCAGAGACTAGGGAAGAAACAGAGAGCAATTCACCTCAGAAGATTGCAAATGGACTGCTAAATATTCCATTATCTAATGTTGAACGGTTGCGGTCAACACTATCTACTGTTTCATTGGCAGAACTGATTGAGCTTGTCCCCCAGCTAGGAAGATCATCTAAAGACTATCCTGACAAGAAGAAGCTATTCTCTGTCCAGGATTTCTTCAGGTACACAGAGTCTGAAGGTATGTGATTCCTACAACCTATGCTAGAACTCTGTTTAAAGTTAATTCCAGCGCGTGGTTTCTGAGAACAACCTTGGCCTAGAGTTTGAGAGGCAATTATATGACTTATTTAAAGTTTGTGCTTTTCTATTTTCTAATTAACCAGCTGGTTATTAGATTGGTTATGGGCAAAGATGGGTTTTGAACTGAACCCTGGTCTCTGTATGTGGTATTATGTATATGATTGTTGCTTACATTTATTCACATTATATTATGATAATATTAACAATTTTACAAGCTAAAACTAGATATTGGATTTTTATGTGTGAGTTGCAGCCTATGTAGTTTATCAATTTAATTGATCAAAACTATATTAAACAATTGGGATATTGGTAATGATAAAATCTCAGGCTGACAGCCATGAGAACACACAATGAAGTTTGAGAGCAGCCACTTTGTGTCAAAAAAAAAAAAAACATAGGTTAGTTCTGTATCCAGTCTACACCTCCCAAGGGATCACTGGGATGATGACTTTTCAAGACTATAAAATAACTTTTTTTTTTTTGTGTGTGTGCAAACAAGAATTCAATGCAAGTTCCTTGACATAAATTCATAACGTTGCAATATTCCCGGAAGGCCATAAATGCAAGATTTGCAATATCTAACATAAAAAAGTTAATACAACAGGAAAGTAATTTTGGAGGTTTGGAAAGAAGGAAGGGTAGTTCTGGAGAGGTTGATCGAAGCTGATTATGGTACTAGGCATTTTGGGCGGGACAGTGGGAAAGTGGAAGGAGCCAATGTACCTTGATGTGCAAAAGGAACAGGGAAGATTCTTTGTGGTCTCCAGAAATATGTAGTTTTTGAAAAAGGGAAAGGGAATTACATATGGTTTTGGAAGGTGGTGTGGACTAGTTCCCTTATGTCATGCCTGTTCAAGTTGCTCACCATCATGGCCAGTAAAGGGCATTTGTGAAGGAGTTCTGTGAGATAATACATTGGTCAAGTTGTAAGGAATTGACTCTCTTTGTAAGTTATAACTTGTAAGGCCAATGACTGGGAAATGAACTTGTATCTTCTACTGTGATTGAAAGGTACACCCGGTCAAGCATGGAAAAGGATAACAGGAGAAATTCAGTTTAACCATTCTTTAGTACCTTGGTAGTGTAGCTGACTTTTGGCCTCTTTTTTGGTGCACTCTCATTCCTGTCAAAGTTGCATTTCTTGTTTTGGCTAGCACGCATGGACTCTCTAGACTTTAGAGGGAAGAATGTGAAGAATAATACAGGCTATATCAGGACATCATATAGTCCTTTGCTTTCTTATATATTATCCCTTTGCTTATAGCTTTTTGAACCAGCTTGTTTGTTAATTTGGAATTTCATAGTTATGCTAGGAGACTAAACAAGACGATTGGTACATGGTCTTTTCTGGAATTTGGGCCTAGGGGCAGATTTGAGAGTGGAGGAAATTATATGGTGTCAAAAATCAAGATTCAAATGAATAAAAGAAGGGGATGGGAATCATAGATTGCATGAGGTTGATCAAGTTTAGTGATAAGGAGAAGTCAGTATAGCCAGGTGAACAGGTTGGAAGGCGATGGTAGAAGATGACTTGAAAGCAGGAAAGTACAATTCTTCCACTGGATGACAATATTGAACTTGTCCTCTACTCCTCTATTCAGATAGGTTCAGGAGGGTGGACTGCATAGCCAGTGTTATTGGAAGTGGAAGGCCGCAAGGGGGTATTTGAAGAGGTTGAAGGAGAGGAGGTCCATATTATCAAAGTGTACATGGTTAGTAAATCCCATCCTCTAGAAAAAAAATTGTGGAGTTTTAGATCCACGTAACCGATTCTCTGGGTCGTTTCTTTTTGGGAGGTAAAACATTGCTTGGAATATGTTTAAAAAGACAGAGGGAGATAGGGTGGAGTGAAAGAGATCTGATGTGGATATGGTAGAGAGGAATGAAGACGCGAGCAGTGTGGGTAGTGAGGAGACGAGTATTTGATGACAAGAAGAAGAAGAAGCAAGAGGCTGGTCCAGCCAAATGTATGTCTTTGCAGCCTAAGGCAGGAAGAGGGATATGCTGTACTATAAGAGATAGAGGTGGTAGGGGTAGTAAGCAAGCAGTTTAGGGGTTTGTGGTATGTGTGGTCTGTGGTGTTTGAAGATTGTGGCCTAGGGGCTATCATAGTTGGAATGTTGAAGTTGAAGATGTTTTAGTTAGGAGTTCTTGAATTATGGTTTCTGGTCTCTATTCTGATATGTTTTTATAGATGTCTTTGTTCCTAGTTGGAGCATGGTAGGGGATCATTTGTATATATTTTTAGCTTTTCAGGGCTTTTTTTCATGAGATGCAAAGCTCTCTCTGCTCTATGATTTACCTTCATTATCAAATAAGAGGGAAAAAGAGGAAAATTTTGTTTTTGAGTTGTTCCACAATGGAAATGATATAATGGATCTTGGTAAAAATGAAGAAACATTATTTTTTCTGTTGCATGCACTAATGAGTAATGAGAGTGAGGTGAGCTCTTATTTGTAGTTCAGTGGGACTTTATTTGTAGTGTGGTTTATCCAAAGCTTCTTTTAAGGGGATGAAGGTAAGCAAAGTTAAAGCACCTGGACTGAATGGATTCTCTATGGCCTTTTCTTAGAAATATTGGGATATAATAGAGAAGGTTTTGGAAGTATTCGAGGAATTCCATGAAAGAGGCAAAACAAGTAAAGGAATAAATGTTGCCTTTGTTTCCTGAATTCCCAAAAGGCTTGGGGCTTCATCATGAAATGATTTTAGGCAAATTATCTTGGTAACCAACATTTACAAAATCAATGCAATTCTACCAAAGAAAAACATTTACAAAATTATTGCAAAGGTACTTTCCCTAAGGTTGGGGGGGGGGGGTTGGAATCTAGTGTCTCCCCTCCTCAAGGTGCTTTTGTTAGCAGATTGCAAATTCTAGACCAGATTCCAATGGCAAATGAGGTGGTTGATGAAGGTGGGAGAAAATTTGTGTAAATTGGATATGGAAAAAGCACATGATCATGTTAATTAGGCTTCTTAAGTTGATGCTTATTACGATGGATTTTGGGAAGAGGTAGATTAAGTAGATACTAAGTTGTTTTTTATTCACAAACTTTTCCATCATGATCAATGGGAGCCCAAAGGGGCTCTTCCACGTCTCAAGAGGCCTCGCCTGTTGCCATTGCTATACATTTTAATGGTGAAGAAAATCTTTCACAAGTTGATAACAAGGGTGAATGATAGGGGTGCATGAGAGCTTTTGTGGTGGGAAAACCAGAAAAGAAGGAAAAATTGTCTCACCTGCAGTTTGCCAGCATTATCATTATATTAGGTGAATACTTGGATTTAAAAGACTTACTGAATTTGAAAACCTTCTTGGAAGCAGTAAAAAGAGTTTCATGTTTGCGAGTTACTTTCCATATATTGCATTATTTTTTTCTCCAGTTGAAGATACCCTTGGCTTATTTTTGTGGGACTTCTCATATAACAGCAGCTGATTTAAAGGGGTGCATAAAAGTTCCTTTTTGTCATGCTTTTGCTTTTATTGTTTTCCGCAATCAAGTTACTTGCCTTACACTAATCTCATCTGCTTACAGGAAGGCGTTTTTTTGAGGAACTGGACAGAGATGGTGATGGCCAGGTAACACTGGAAGATCTTGAAATTGCAATGAGAAAGAGAAGATTACCACGGAGATATGCTCGGGAGTTTATGCGCCGAACCAGGAGTCATATATTCTCAAAATCATTTGGGTGGAAACAGTTTTTATCCTTGATGGAACAGAAGGAACCTACCATTCTTCGAGCTTATACCACTCTCTGTTTAAGCAAGTCTGGTACCTTGCAGAAGAGTCAAATTTTGACGTCTCTTAAAAGTGCAGGACTACCTGCGAATGAAGACAATGCTGTTGCCATGATGCGTTTTTTAAATGCTGATACTGAAGGCTCTATTTCCTATGGCCATTTCCGCAATTTTATGCTCCTACTCCCTTCTGATCGACTTGAAGATGATCCTCGGTAAGATCAGTTCAGTCTGTTACTGTAAATAATTTGAGAAGTTATAGAATAAAAATGAAATGAGAAAATTTGGCTTCTTGTCAATGTAAATGTTACAGGCATTCAATTTTTCAGATGAACATAATCTATCAGTGAATAGTTAGTCAATTTTATTTGTATAAACATTTATTTGATGTTCTGTTCACAACAAACTAAAGAAGCCTTATGCAAACTACTTGGACTTAGTTTGTGAACCCTATCATTTTTTTTAAAGATGTTGCTTTAAACTGAAAATCTTTTTTTTTTTGGTAATAAAAATGAATATCATTTTCATTTACCTTTTGTCTTGTTCAGTACAGACAAAATAAATTGTGTGCGAAAATTCATATAACGTGTGAAGTGAAGTTATAGTGTATTATGTGTTTACTTGTCTCTCATGGCCTCAATGAAAGAATAGAAACTTTGCCAGCTGCTTTGAGTACTTTTTTGATGTCAGGAATGATTCTATTTCATCCTTTGCTTTCTTCATTTTCTTATATTTCTCTAATCTTTATTACTGTCCATGGAAAAAGGGAAAGGAGAAATATAGAAGAGCTTCAGAAGGATTTTCTCATTTTTTTATACAATGATAGTATGCAAGTTACTGGAATCTTTTCCTTCAAGAAACCCTAAAAGAATATTTACAAAATATTACATGGTTGCTGTAATGTTAAATCTCTGAATACAAAATTCTCCCATTTTATATTTACCTCAACTTATGCCTGCCTTTTATTCTTAACTTTTTTGCTTTTTTCTTGACTTAGATTTCAAGTGAAGCATATTTATCTACAACTTCTGTTAGGAAAATGCCTGACCAAGAACAAACTAACAGATGCATGGACATCCAAGACATCAGGTGTGTCCTATGTAATGAAAGGGAAGAGACACTGGACCATCTTTTTATCCATTGTCCCTTCATCTTTAGAATCTGGATGCACTTCTTTTCTGTCATGAACCTTTGCTGGTCATCACCCAAATCAGTTAGAGAGATGCTGGAAACTTGGTGTGTTGAGGGACTTTCCAGAAAAAGGGAGAATAATTTGGTGAATTATTCCAGCTGTCATTATCTGGTCCATTTGCACCAAAAGAAATAGCGTAATTTTTTAAAGCAAAGATATAAAGAAGTGGATCTGCTGAGAAGGGTGGCGGGGAGAGTTGGGTTGTGGATTGCTGTGAACAAAAACTTGCAGAGCTCATCTGTTTGGGATTTCTTAGCAGGAAATAGTCTTTTCAGAGAGTAGTAGGGTCTATTTTGTTTTATCATTAGTTTTGTATTGGGTTTATGGGGATTGGTACAGTCCCTCACTGTTGAAGGGGTTACCCATCAACCTTAATGATCTTGCAACTTCCTTTTGTTTCTGCAAATAATTTGAGGCATTGTTATCTAGTGACTTGAAAGGTCAGAAATGGTTGGGCTGTCACTGATTCCTTAGCCATCTTTTCATTCTTTTAACTGTCTTGGGCTAAGCATTTTACTTCTTCAAACTAAAAACTGGAAAGGTGTTTTAGCATAATATAGTTGAAAAGATTCAAGGAGGCAAGAACTGTTAAAAGTTCATTTTACTACCATTGCATCATTAGAGTAGGTCTCTATCGGGGTTTCATTGACATTGACCTTGGTCAAATACAGAGCACAATTGTATTAGAACTGTTCACTGACTCTATCAAGCATTGTTAGTAGTACAGTAGAAACATTGGATCTTGATTCATTTGTAGATCAAAATGTATCAAAGCTAAACATGAGACATTCGTATCAAGTTTTTTGGAAAATCTCATCTTTGATAAAATTTTTTGGAACTTGTTCCCCTTCTCCTGGAATTATTCATCTTTGCAAGTAAATCAGAACCCTAAATGCTAATTCTATTAAGTGGTTACAGGAGTTAATGTTTAATTTCTGTATGAAGATCTGATGATTCTTGGGTTTCTTTATTTCTTAGCTTATATGGATATCTGGATAAATACTGTTTGCAAAATGTTTTATATTTATATAATTTATAATAGTCATATTCTATAAAAGATTGTTCTGATGATTGAGTTTGTTACTTTTTTTTTTTTTTTAATATTATGTACAGGAGTATATGGTTTGAAGCTGCTACTGTTGTAGCTGTTGCACCACCAGTGGAAATACCTGCTGGAAGTGTCCTAAAATCTGCGTTGGCGGGTGGCCTTGCATGTGCACTTTCCACTTCACTAATGCATCCTATTGATACAATAAAGGTATTTCTTTGGCTTAGTTGTCCATAATTTCTTTTTACATTTTCCTTTTTTTTTTGTGAGGGTGGGAGGGAGATTGAGGGAGAAGACCTGTGGTCATTGGTTAGGGTTAGTAGGTCAAGACAGTTGCTTGATAATTTAGCTGGCTACACAGGTAATTTAGGGTTTTTACAATTTCCAGAAATACTTTTGTCTACGGATAGGTATTTTTTTTAATCAGCAACACAGAAATTCATTCATTCATTAACTTTAGGAAGAAGATATTACAAAAAGAAGTAAAAAAGCAGTCAAACCCATTACAAGACAGACCCACACAACTGTATTACAAATGAGCCCAGCACATATGTTGTCTTTGAACCCCTTGGCTAAGCCATCTGCCAGACTATTAGCAGATCTCCTAACCTACTTTATTTGAATGGTCATATCTTTTGATAGCCATTTGAAGTGCTTGAATTCATTTCTAAGTGCCAAATCACCCCCTCTCCTTTCTTTAACCACCCTACTACCAGCTTTGAATCACCTTCAATAACCAACCTCCCAATTCGCAGTTCTTTAGCCATCTTTTTCCCGAAAACTGCAGCCAAGAATTCTGCTCTTACAGAATTACCTTGCTCAATTGGGTCTGAGTACAAGGCACGTATAAAACCACTCTCATCTCTTATCACCCCTCCAATTCTTGAAGGACCTGGATTGCCCACACTATCACCATTGAAGTTCAATTTCAACCACCCGCCCATTGGGGGAGACCACACCTCTAGTTTTTTTTTTTTTTTTGATAATTAGCAGAAACTTTTATTTAGAAATAGTAAGAGAATAAGATACAAGAGGAGGGAGGGGTAAAATCTCTTAACACCTCTAGGGGTTTTTGTTTGTCTATAGATAGGTATTTAATAAATAGATTGATGAAATTGATGCTAAACTGGATTTATCCTCAAAGTATTGGCTACTTTGTGAAAAGGAAGTGCTTAGACTTTCCAAAATAACCTGGTCATGTAATCTCATCAGGAAGTGCTTAGTAACTAAAGGGTTGATGGTTTCCTCCATCTCCCCTCCTTAAAGGGGAGGTAGCATCTCGTGCCTCTCCCTAAAATGTACCATCTTGGGCTATGAATTAATATATCTTACAATTTACTGATAAAAAAAATGTAATCTGATCAGGAATAGTTCATGATGGCTAAACCTGGATTTGGTTAGCTGAGATGACATAGGAATGAACTAGTTAAGAGTGATGAGATCTTCTGCAGACATGTAGAGGAATTAAAGAGAACAGGAAAAAAGGGTATCATTTGCAAACTGGATTTGAAGAAAGCTTATGATTTGGTTGATTGGTCTTTCCCATTAGAGGTGTTGGAACATTGCAGCTTTGGGGAGAAATGGTGTAAGTGGGTTTTGGGTTGCCTCCAAAATTGTCATTATTCAGTGATAGTTAATGGTACTCATAGTTGTCAGGGCGCCTAGGCGAGCCTAGGCGACCACAGGGCGCTCAATCGCCTAGGCGATGGAATTTGAAAGTATAAAATAAATATCCCTACCCCTCTTAAGCTACTTTATTGGTTTTATGTACTAACCAACATACCTGTATGCTAGCTATTAGCAATAAAATCATTCAAATAAAACATAAGATGCCATAGCTAGCATACAGGCCAACAAAAATGGGGGAGTGCAGCTAAGAAAAGAGAGAAAAATAAGGGGGCAGAGCCCTTGTTTCACTCCCAAAATAAGTTGTCCAAGAGGATGACTTGGACTATGTTTAAGGGGGTGGAGACCCTGTTTCAGGCTAAAAAAATGCATTATTAAAAAATAGTGCAAAAAATACAGGAAAGTTTTAGAAAGTTGGGGCACAACCTCTATTTAAGAAGAAGAAGGGGGCAGAGCCCCTGTTTCGTTCCCAAAAGTGTTTTTTTTTTTTTAAGTAAGAAAGTAAAATAAAGGTGTACCAGTGTGATTTTAGGACGAAGAAGGAGGAGGCGGAGCCCCTGTTTCATCCCAAAAATATTTCTTAAACAATGGACTGAACAATGGAAAAAGAGAATTACTTTAATAAAAAAATTGGTAACATACAACAGGGTGTGTTCTAATAAAATAAAACAAACCAATAAAATGATATAATACATATGCACATTCAAAAAAATGATTGACATCCATGCTTATGTATATATATATATATATATGGGTGAGCACCTAATACAAAAACACCTTGGCTTTGGGTGAGGTGACTAAAAATCGCCTAGTCGCCTAGGCGTTGCCGTGACAACTATGATGGTATTGCAGTGGATTTTTTCCATGCTATCCGTGGAATTAGGCGGGGACACCTTCTCTTCCCTTTTTTGTGTACTCTTATTACAGATGCGGAGGATTTATAGAGGGTTAGAAACCTGAAGATTGTTTGCTGGAATAAGGCTGCCGAATGAGAAGAGAAGAAGAAGAAGAAGGAGAAGATATGAGAAGGGCGGCAAAATCACTCTCAGCCAGCCCTAATCTATTATATATAAGAGCATTACATAATGTTACATAAATAGACTAGAATGCCCCTGATTAGTGATGGGACACCTAGTCAAATAAAACACTAAATAAG